TACACAAATATCTGCAGAAATCTTTTGAACTAACCAGTTTCAGCTTCTTCACCTATTTATCCTTTCAAAATATAGGGAGTGATATTTTCTGGCACTCAGCACTGGCCTCATTCTAGGCCCATTGACATCAGTGGGAGTTTTACCCGTGAGAGAGTGCAGAGTTAAGCTATCCCTGAGCTCTTTGGAAAATCCTGCCCTTAGTCTGTTGTTTTTCCTTTCATTTGCTTTGTTTAAAATGCCTTCTAGGTTATTTATTCTTTAAAGTGGGGGAAAAGTATTATGTATCAGTATCATTATTTATATAGCGCTGTAGGTGTTCCTGGTATTTTATGGACATCTAGAAGGATATGATCCCTTGCCTGGGGACTTTTCATACTACAACATAGCACAGATAACCGATCTTGGTTGGGGAGAGAATGTATTAGAAAGAATTGAAGTTGCAGAAGAGAAGGCAGTGAATATTGCTCATTGTAGAGACTCTGTTATGAAATATTACAAGTGATATGCATACTATGCCTGCAAGTTGCAAAGTATTGTGGAATGTCAGAAGCTTTTAAAACATACTTCATGCTGAAGTATGACTGTTCATGAACATATTGCTATAAAAGGTTTGGAATCTTTTCACATTCCATAGTACATAGCAATATTTGTGAAGTCTGGGGCTCTTTATAAAAGCTACTGCAGACTCAAGATAAATCCAGAAAAATATCCCAGATGGCAAGAGGAAATGAAGCAATGATATACTTTTATAGAGGATATACCTTTCGTGAGGATTTCAAATGAGTTTGTAACAGTAGGTAGACTAGCATTTGCAGTATGGGCACAGAGAAGCAACATGACGTGATTGGTCACAGTGAATCTGTTGCAGAACTAGATATACAATCCAAATGTCCTGACTCCGTGTTCTGCGCTCTCACTGTTTTTCTTTGCTTCCTAATGTGGATCCGAACATCAACATGGTCACTTTAATATAATCATTTATAGCAATAGATCTGCTTTTTTGTACTCCATATTTGCTACTGCTGGAGTAAAAGCCTGACTGCGTAGAAATATATTCAAGCTACTTAAAAGTTTTGCTGTCATTTTTTGTGTGTGTATTTTAAAATTCTAAACTCCAAAACACTCAGTGGTGTAAACATAAAACAATTAAAAGTACATTCCTTCTTATGGCAATGAGTTCCAGAGGTGGTCAGTGCTGGGTTCAACAGAGACTAATTAGATTAGTTCCTTGATGATAAATCCCACAATGGCTATTAGCCAAATGATTGAGGATGCAACCAAGTTGCAAAACCAGCTTTTTTCCTTTCCTGACCCTTTTTCTTGATGTTGGCAATGTTAACTGGAACAATTATAGAAGTGTAGGACTGGAAGGGAACTCAGAATGTCATCCAGACCAGTCCCATGCACTTAAGGCAGGACTACATAATAACTAGACCAGCC